TGTCTTTAAGGGAAAGAAGAGCTATGGAGGAAACAGCTCACTTTTACTGTGTGTGTTGCTGAAGGCTAACCAAGCTGTAGCATACTTAAAAAATCCATTGTCATCATTTTCACCAGACTGCTTGAGAAATCTGGGGCTATCTCACTCTCTGACCCTGAAGAACTGACACGGGGACAAGCTCTTCAAGTCTGACTGAAGCGTGATAGGCTGACTTCGGGGAGACCAGGTGTTTCCGTGAGGTGTCAGAGGCACTGATGGTGCCGGGCATGGGCCCTCATTGTGAGCAGCAGAATCCAGTGCTGAGCTCTTCTGCACATTCATTAAAATCACTACCAGGTAAGCGTAGATCTCATTCCTTTTTTCTCCAGGTTAAACAGCCCTAACTGTTCATAGTCTCAAACATGATATCCAGAGTCCTACACCCTCCTGGTAACTTCTAGAAGAGATCACTTTTTGAAACCTTCAAAATGGAAAGCATACTTCAATGGAATCAGATCGTGGTAGATACCAAAGAGTCTTGATTATTATGAACTAAAACCTGCTATGAATATAGATTAAGTACATCAGTCTTTGTTTTTTACTGGCCAATAACACAAAATGAACTCAAAGCCAAATTAATCTCCCATTTTGGGCTGGGGATTTAGCTCAGTAGTCCTGCTGCCTGCTTCACAAGCACAAGGTCCTGAGTTTGATCCTTGTTACCAAAAAAAAAAAAAAAAAGACTCTCAATCTCCCCATTTTTCAAAATACTGAGTTCTTCAGCCACTTTATCACCTTTACCCTGTATTCTTATAGTTAATATTTTATATTTTTGAGCTAAGATTTTACATTTTCTCTGTGGAATTCCATCTTGTTGGCTTCAGCCTACTCTTCTGTCTTGAGTTTGTGGTTCATCACAGACTTCAAGACTCCAACTCTGCATAATTCCAAACTATCAATCTTCATTCAGAGTGCTTGACCTGGTACCTCGTAAACATGGTGCAGACAGTGCAACACTGGAGGCCTCCTTGGATTTAATTAAAACTCTTTGTCAGCTCTGTGTGAACTGCAACATCACCAGCCACAGTACGTACCTGTCTGTGAGGAGGTCAAGGAAGACCTGGGGCTAGCGCTTCTTTACTATTTATTCTCCTTTTATTGTTTGGAGAGGGGTTCATCAAAAACTTGTAATGGGAATTATCTGGTAGTGTCAGATGAAAGGAGCAATAATCAGCCCATAAATGAGACTCTGCCCACCTCTATGTCCCCCTGCCCCCCAACAAGTGCAGTGGGTAACAGCACAGGCATTGATGCGAGGTTCTGGTTGGGTTACAGGTGAATTCAATCATGTGCTGTTTCATTTTGAAGAAGCTGATCTCCCTAATCTCTTCTTCTCTTGAAGTAGGGTGTTAGTCAACAGGTTTGATATGAAAACTAGGTAAGAACTTCAGTGAGGAGCATCACATGGCGAATGCTGGAAGACACCTGTGAGGCGTCTGTGTCATTTCCGAGAGCTCGGTGGCCCTGTCTCGCGGCGGTCACCCTTGGCACTCCTCCCTCTTTGACCCTGCAGTGGACTTTAGATTGACTTTTACCAGCAGCAGAAACATCATGGTGCCCTTTCTGTGTCTAATGGGACTGAGATGGCCTGGGGGCTTCTCTCCTGTGCTTGGGGGGTGCCACAGCAGGCTGATAGTGGAGTCCCCCACGTGGAGGAGCCCATGCAGCATGTGAGAAGGTCCTGTGGCAGGATCTGCTTTCCACGTGTCCTCACATGTGGGAGGGGCCACAGTTCCTGCAGACCTGTGGTAACCTGCAGCCCACACAAGGCCTGTCAGGGTCTATGTCCCGCTCCCCCGCAACTCCACCAGGGTGCAAACCCAGACAACAACAATGGTTCATCAAGTACTTAGTGATACGTTTTTCTTCCTGATGCACACATGGAAATCATTTTCTGAATATGATTTATGAGTGTTTTATGTCTAATGAAAATAATGTCCTTAATGTAAGCACCATTTTATTCTTCAAATAACTCAAATGCATCTAAAAATGCAAAATTTATCATCTAAAGTGAAGATAACCTTGAGATAAAACATCAAAAACCACTGTAAACTCTTCCATCTTACCATTTTATACTCCTTCCAGCCTCTTTGGAAATCTAGACTCCCATCTTCACGATGCTGAATTACAGTCCAGCCTCCCCCATTCACATCCATATTGCAAAATACCTGACAAAGGGAAAACAGAGTAAAGTGAAAACTATACTTCTTTTAAAGAAACATGTGCCTGATATGTTTCAAAACAGAAACAGTTTGAGTAGGCCCATGAGAAGAAAAAAATGTAAGTGCACTGGAAACTGTTAGCAGATTGTTACTGGTGATTTCTTCCCATAATTCATATCTGAGTTACTTCTGAATACAGTGCATCAATAATGTGTTAATTACTTTTAAAATTTTAGATCAGCTAAAAATTAATAATCTCAGTCTTACACTATAAAGCTATTTTAAAAATCCTCATTTTAAATGGAAACAGTTTAAATTTTAAAATAACTAAATTTTCCAAAGTTACACAGCATTTTATGACCAAAACATAAGACGTGACATTTTAAAATCTTCTATTAAAATGGCAATATCATAAGAATAGTGGTTTGGGAAAATAATTTTTAAAATTATACAAATTTTACTATTTCTTATTTTATTGCATAACAACTATATACTTAATAGTGTAATAATTATTCTTGATTGCTCAGTGTTACATTAGAGGGAAGAGTGGGTCTTTGGCATATGGAGAACACATTTTGCTTAACTTCTAGTCATGAACAGTAAGAGGAGAACATGCCATACTGTAGTCCTTCTGATTGCAAGAGAAGCATTTCTTTCCCATGTGCAAAAGTTATAGATATCTTTCAAAGACTTAACACTTGCTTCAATTCTAAACACAACGGTATTTATTTAAAACTTGGGGATTCCCTGTGCCCACGGGAAGCTGCTCGGTAAGGGGCACCCCTGGAGCGCAACCGCAGTGGCTGAAGAAGAATGGACTGGGCGTGGGCCACTCCGGGGCCAGGCCGTGGGGCTCCACTCCCACAGCTGGACAGGAAGCTGCAAAGAGGGCTGAGGGTGTGCAGAGGATGCACCACAGCCAGCAGGCAGCAGAGCACAGCTCTCAGCTCTGGTTTAAGGGGGCCTCAGCATCTCCCTGAGGCCTTGCATTGGAAGCCCAACAGCCAGAGGCGGGAGAGCCATGTGGAGAGCCACGGCGACTGCATTCAGAGGATGAGTTCCTGAGTGAGAGGAGCTGAGACCCGTGTGTGTCCACAGGGACAGGATACCTGCTCTCCGAGGGTTTCCCTCCGTCCGACAGCACCCTCCTGACCTCCAGGCTCAGGGTCTGACAGCCCCAAGACTGTAAATGCTAAGTTCTCCCTTTCCCATGCCTCCCTCTGTAATCCTTTCTCTCTCTCTCTCTGCTCTTTGTCCTCAACGTGACCCGAGCTAGGCTTTCGTCCTGTTTTATTCTATTTATTCCCTCAGTTACTCTTTTCTTCAATAAGCATTCTTGGGCACTGAGTCTGTTTCACAACAGAGGATATTATGATGAATGAAAAAATGGGTCGTGTCCTCAAAGCACCTCAGGTTTTGATGATAACTCTTCATGGGATGCATAGGACGAAGGGGACATCAGAGTTCATAATTTTCAACTCTAGTGGCCTGAGGAACAACAAAGAGAGAGGCTGAAGTGAGAGGTTTAGAAAGAGAGCTTATCGAGTGGTCAGAGCTGACCTACTGGAGACAGGCAGAGCCAGCATGGGTGAGAGAGGAAGGAGTACGAGAAGAACCTTTGGAGCCGACGGAATGCACGTCCAGGGCCAAACTCTTTATATGCATTTCCTAACTTAATCTTACAGCTTTCTAAAGAAGGCATGTTACTTCCATTTTAAAGATGAAAAAACTGAGGTTTAGAGTTTTTTGGGTAGCTTACAGATGGTCATACTTAACAATTAACACTGGATCCAGGATTTAGACTGGGTTTAGGGTTTGAAAGCTATGTTTAGCTAACTTGAAATTCTGGGGAGAAATCTGCTTGGAAGATGCAGTTGGTCACACACAGACGGTGCTTATCTAAAGAAGTAGAAGAGCAGGGTCTGGAGCTGTGGAGTGCAGTGGGGAGCAGAGTGCAGCACGGACTCCAGGACAGCTGAAGGAAGGCAAACAAGTAGTCACTGACATGCGGTTCCTGGTATCACTGCTGCTCTCTCCAGGGCCTTGGGACAGTGCTTAGCCTCTTGTGGGCACGGAGTTAACTGGTTAATAAATAAAGATGCGATATGGTAAAGTAAGAAAATGTGACTAATGCAATGCAAAAAAGCTGTGGCTGGGCGTGGAGCTGTGGTGGTGACAAAGTTGTTCAAGGGTTTGAGAGAAGTCGAGAAAAATAAAAGATGATGAAAACCTGCATCTACATCTGAAATGAAGGAGGCGATTTTGGCCAGAGAGAGTGCAAGTCTCCTTTGACGATAAGATCATAGCACAGTGCAGACAGGCATGATGGTAACTCGAGAGAAGAGGCCAAGTCTGCATTTCCCAGAGAAATTTAAATGAAAGTAAAGGGAAGCGAGATGTCAAGGAAGCACACTAATGGGGGAACTGGCACCACTAATTCCTCAGGTAAAGTTTACCTTACCTTCAGGGCTTAGTCCGAAGCCCCCTCCCCTCCCTTCCTTCCTGACTTCCTTCTTAGAGATCTGCACTTCCTACTGGACAGTTTGTCAAACTGTGTTTACAAATTATGAAGTCTACTTCATACTCAGAGTAAGAATCACCACTTACAAATATAGACCACGTGGAGAAAACTATGCTGTATGGTTATTAATGACTGATACTCATTATTGAAATTCTGTGCACTCTGAAAATCAAACATTTTAAAGAAAGACAGCTTGCTGTGTAACAGGCACCGAGTGACTCGCAGAGTGACTCATAGAGGGAAGGCGGGCTGGTCTTGCAGCTCAGATGAAGACCAAAGAGAGCGTAGCTCTGTGGAGGTAGCAACTGCCAGGCAGAGACAGTTGCAGGGCTTTGACTTCTGCCTCCTAACTCTACAAAACCTCAACAGCAGCAGGGTGATGGCTGCCACCAGGGGACGGTGGTGCAAGGGAACTGGAGGGACTCAGTTGGGATGAGGCTCGGGACTGGGTGGCCCTGGTTCAACCTCTCCCTCTGCGTGCTCTGCTTGGCCAGGGTCAGGTGGGCTCAGAGGAGGCATTGCACATAGAGGTTTGAGCTTAGCGTTGGGCTTACAGCGGGCCTTGTGGTTGAAGTGGGCTTTGTCACTGCCTCGCTCTCAGATATGTCCCACAGAGAAGAAAACACATATTTATATTATGCATTAGCTACTGTACGGTACATTTATGTATTGTCCTAATTTAATATTCTTTAATATGAACCAATATTTAATGCATTATATTTAATTTATTATATTTTGGTTATTGGCTATAATATCGCAATGATGCACATTATTTATAATTTATTATAATAATATGGAATATATAAAACAAAAAACAGCCAGCAGTTCAACAGACTTTCCTTATGATTATGGTAAGAATTCTACTTAATAACATTGGCATCCCTAATCTTTGATCACTCTACTTTTTGCTAGGTATCCATGTAAGAAGTTAGATTCACTTTTGCAAAAACAACTGCTATTCAGTGGGCAGGCTAAATGGCATCTCTCCATGAAGGAAGTTCCAGGAACTGGATGCCTGGTTTCCTCAGGGCCTGCAGCCCAGGCGGCCCGTGCTCTGCGGCCCTGCTGTCCTGGAGATGAGGCAGCCTGGAGCTTGAGTCCTTCATGTGACTTGAGCTTAATTCCCTCCAAGAAAGGACAGAATTGGCTCCAGTCCCAGGCAAGGTCAAAGCTCTCTAGCATTAAACACCTTTTAACATAATATAAAGGCTTAACCCCAAACAAAAAGGGGAAATTTGATTCACATAGTTTTTATGCTTTTATGGTCCATACAAGTTGGAATGATTAGCCTTACAGATGTTAATTACTCTTCCATAACCTCAAATGAAAAGAGCTCAACACATTTGCTACAGACCTTTTCCAAGAATTAGGGGAATCATGAGTTCAGAAACAAATTTTTAATATTTTACAGTAAGAGTTATGATTTAATGGTCTATTTTCTTGGATGAAAGTGAGCTGGCTATAGGGCATTTGGTTTTAGAAACTTACGAAATGAAAGGGAAAAAATCCTGTTTCCTACTACAATCCATCCATGGGAATTCAGAAAGAAAATAACCACAAGCCACGAATACCAAGAAAGCAAAAAGGAAGATGTACAAGATGGAATTCTCATTTTCTATCTGCTTGAAAAATTAAATCGTCCTAGAAAACCACCCCTGGCCTCCACATAACATTTGGAGACTACACTTTTTAACCTTTTACAACCATTTCTTTTTTGGTCACGGAACAACATCCACTGAAACAATAACTGTGTAACAATTCATTCACACATGCAAGTCTTGCACTGCCCAGAAGAGGAATGACTTCTGCTGATGGCTACTGCCATTGTCCCACACAGCCCGAATGCACTAACCTGTCCATGTCACCCACACACACTTGTGCTGTTGTGAGGCCTGTGTTCAGTCTCCTCCCCTCTGGAACTTCTGAAAGGGTTACAGTGGACAAGGCTTTACTCGACTTTCCTAAGGGTGCCTTCTTAAGGGCCTTTTAAAAAAATCTGTGATGCCTGGTCATCATGAAAGAGTAGAGGCCTTAAAAATGTCTGTTTGCAGCACTTTCTATATAAATTTGAGAGAATGTCCGTGGTTTACGTCTGGATGGGAGCAGCAGTGGAATTGTGGGTGGGAGCCTGGTGGACTATCCCAAGCATACTAACTCACTTTTCTAATCAGAGGGTCTTGCTTCTGTTGCTGGCTTCATCATCTGTCTACAGACCCACAGGCACTGAACTTTCCTCACCAGGAATGGGAATCGTGAGCCAGACCTTATTCCAAGCCAGCGTGCAGTGTCTGGGCCAGCACAGGTGGGCGTGTGCTTTCTCTCCAGTGGGGACAAGGTGGGCACCTCTCCAGGGCTGTCCAGAGAGCCATCGAGTGGGGGACATACAGGAATCATGCTCGGAACAGCAGTATCTAATGACAACAAGAGCTGCAAAACAAACGTCTCATCTAAAACGCGTATAGCAGGCCGGTCTGGGTAACAGAGCAGTGTTGCTTCTTGTGAGAGACTCTGTGACCACAAAAGGGGCAGAATAAAGCAGCAGGAACCTAAAGTCTGGAGGATCCTCTGTATCTCTCCCCTCAGCTCGGCACCCTTCACCCCACATTTTGGTTTTCCCGGGTAAAACTCAGCCTGGGGACCATCTAGACCAGGCTGTGGGGACTTCTTTCCTCAGAAATGCCCTTTTCTGAACAGCTTCTCCAGGAGACAGTCGGTATCGTGGATTTAATATTTTAGGCTTTATTTATTCAAGAGCAACTCTGAAGCTCCATCTTATGCACAATCCATCACTGTGTAGAAGTGTAGGTTTGCATCATTCTGTCTTGATGAAAAAAACCCAGTGCCAGCCATGAACTCATGAACAAGATGAGCCCTACAGACCCAACTCCTGGGTAGATACAGAAAGGCTTCCTGGGCAGCTGGAAAAAGCAGTGCTCTTCCACCCACCAGGGACGGCGTCTCTGCACAGCCCAAGCCCTCTCGTCCCACACATGTTCCATGGGGTCGAGCTGTGCTTCCATCCGAGGACACGCCTGGGCCTCCAAGTGCGTGTAATGAGCTGCACTTCACTCACGCTGCCGTCTGTCCCCAAGGTCCACCTGGTGATGGGGTAAAATGTCTACAATTTGAAGATCATCAGTCTGAGCACCTCTTGAAGTACTGCATCTTGTATCGGAGTATACCGTGGGATCTGTAGGACTGACTTCATTTCCAGGGCTGAGTCAGAGTTACAGTGAGGCCGACACCCAACACGGGCTCTCCTGGGGCCGGGACGGCAGCACAGTGGAGCTAGGTCTGATTTACTTCTGCTCCTTTCCCTCCTCCTCCAGGAAGCTTTCTCGCGCTCTTTATGTGCTGTGGTAGAGTGCGTGTGCACGCGTGTGTAAATTTAAGTGTGCACATGATTTCAGGACATCCGAAAGACTGCCGCAGCCTGAGCTCCCGTTTCCAGACTTCCGGGGTATCTCCGCAGCTGCTGTGGGATCTTGTGTTTAGTTTTACGTCATGGAGCCCATGAGGAAGGAAACTGGGCTCGGAATCCAAAACCAAAATTAGCTCCAACCAAACTTATTTCCTGGGCAACTGCGAGCGCATTACACACACTTCTGCGTCTTTCCCGCCATGCCCACCCTGTCCCTTGCCCGGCTGCAGGACAACAATGACGGCCTCTTGAGAAGAACATTTTGTCCAGAAAAGAGAGAAAATGAGGATCTGCCTGTGATCCCTAGTCTAAGGACTGGAGATCCTGAAGTCAGGAGAGGACCCCGGTAGGGAGATTGCGTTTGAGAGCCTGGACTGGCATCCAGGGTCCCTGTGGGGCAGTTTTGGGATGCCCGGAAAAGCATCTGCAAGGTTTCATCCTGGCCTAAGAAAGGTGTCAGATCTACTGTGGAGCATACAGGAGTGTGGAAGAGGCCAGCAGGCCATGCACCGTGCACACATGCAAGGAGACCATGTGAGCATGTTCCTGCCTCCTCAGCTCTGGGCCAGAGAGTCACACAGCAGTGCAGGCCTCAGGGGACGTCACCAGGAGCAGGGGACTGGGGATGTCAGATGAATGCTGCCCCATGAGGGCAGTGTGCCTCAGACTGGGCATCTGTTCAACATCCGCCTTGAAGAGCAGGGTGCTTGTCTCGGTCCCAGCCTCCCCTAGGACTCACCTCACAGCTCCCCCGGTCCTGGCTTTGAGGGTCTGCACCTCTGGAGCGACTGGGGTTTATAACTGTGGGTGTGAAGGTCAATCTGCACACCGCCTGGGAGCTGATGGCTTCACACCCAAGTCCCTGGACAGTGAGTGCCACCCACTGATGGTGCACAGTGGATGCACGGCAGGAAGGGCCTGTGCTGTGGTAGCACATTATAGCAGGAAGCCGGCATCCGCCAAGCTGGCTCAGGGGCCTGTGGGACTCCTGGAAGCTTCTCCTCCAACCCAGTCTTTCATGTAGAAGTGACAAACAAACCCTTCAAGATGGCGAGCTGAGAGAAGGTGTGCCCTCCCGACTTTAGGAGGAGCTGCAGTCTGTAAATGACGGCAGTACGCAGAGGGTCAGTGCTGTGAAGGCCCCAAACTCTTCCCACACACCTGGCGGAGGCATCCTCCACGTGCAGTCTTGCAGGGCACACACACCTCAGAGCAATATGGCACCCAGAGGAGCAGAGAAGAAAGGCCAGATAAGGTGAATACGGGATGGGAGGTGCAGGGGTTGGAGGAGGTCTGCAAACAGGGTCTAAACCCAGACCCGGGAGTCGGCGTCATGGCGGGGAGATAACTCAGGAGAAGACACACATACATCTGCTTTAACAAGCTCACAAATCAATCTGATCACCCAGCAATCCAACTAGCATCTGCTTTACATCTCATAAACAAACACTCTGGTTTTACCTTTTTGGGTTCTGGCATATTATTAATATAAATAGTGTAGATTCCACTTTTATTAAAACCAGCTTGATATACATCTGCACAGTCTCTAAATGGTTTCTCTTCCTCTCTTTTTCCTCCCTTTAGCAAAACTGCAAAAAAAAAAAAAAAGATTGCAAGATATAAATGAGAATATCAATACCATTAGCATCCATGGACTCCAAGTACAGCTAAGCATGTATTTCTCTGCTACACACAAATGTCATTTACACATTTACTGAAAAGTTAAATAGACAGACAGTACTACAATTAAGGTGACATACAATTTAAAAACTGAAGAAAACTGTAAAGCAGTGAACACTGACATTTTACTTAATTTCTTATTTTTTGTTTTTCTACGTATCTTTTGCAATACATCAATTCGAGGAACACAGGATTGGGTCACATAATACCTAAAATTTATGTCAGTGTTTTCTGTAAATTTCCAAAACTGTCTTACCTATATTCCATAGGGAATATAGTTTTATTTATTTGTTCATCTTTTGCAGCGCTTTGGCTCAAACCCAGGGCCCCAGACACACTGAATGTCCTACCACCAAGCTGCACCCCAGCCTTGGCAGCTTTCAAAAAACATCAAAACACTTTTGTGCATGTGCTGCTGAAGTGAGCACTCAAAACACTTTTGGAGAACAAAAATTCAAACAGAAATGTGGTATAGCATTTAAACATTGAAAGTGGGTACTGCTGTTCTCCATTGCTTTTAGATTCAAGAGCACCTTGAATTTTTCCTAAAATAACTCTCAGTTAGATTTGGAAAGTAGAAGAGTTTATGACCCATTTTAACTACCTAGAAAGGAAACTGCACTTTGTCCAGTGCCCTGAAGTCAAATCATCACAGACGATACACAAATAAAAGCACAGACAGATGAGTATGGTTTTGAAATCAAATTATAAAGGGGGAAGAATCTCCTTAAAGCTAGAAGCCAAATGAGGGCAGGAGATTTTATTAGAGCTTGTCTTTATTTGGAGCCTTATTTCTTCTTCAGTTTTATCCATTAGTAAGTTCTTATTAATGAAAGAAAATAACTCATTTAATAGTCTTAGATTGAGATATATGTGCCATTTATAAAACATTTGGATTTAGGATTTTCTAATAAATATATATATATATATATATATATATATACACATAT